CGATGCATCCCAGTACCTTCATCTCTACCTTCCTAGAAGTGGAAAAAGCTGCAACAGCTAAAATACGCTTGACACAAAACCGAATCAAGAATTCCATTGATGCCCCATGATCCAGTTCAGCCCATTACAGAGAGCACAGATGGGAAGTTCAGATGTGGATTAAAGCTCTTGCTGCACATTGCAATCCTTTCTCAGCATCTTTAATGAAACTCCTCTTGAGATACGAACATTAAGCTGTGTTCCTTCTGGCCTGTTATTCACCAGGAGTAAAATTCTGCCCTCAGACTTTATTAATGATGCTGCTGATGGTAAGTGAGATGAAACAAAGCACAACTCATTCCACAGAACCAGCATTTACTTTTCTAGGCTAGGAGAAACATATGAAAATTGGCGATGACAGCTTGTTCTGTTAGGAAATAAATGATATGAGGCTCAAAGTACTGATTGCATATCCATAAGAGGTTTCATGTTCAAAGGGGTAACATTTGATTGAACTGAGTTTGTATTTAGAAAGATGGGATCTGTTTCTTTCAAGCACTCTGTTAGATTTGGATGAATTTGTTTTAAATGCATTTCACAATTCCTTATCTTTTTTCTGTAGTATTTTGCATACATCACTTTAAAAAAAAAAGAACAAACCTGAAATTTTAGAGGGCTAAAAGTACATGTTTAAGGACTTGACTGAGCAAACTGAACTGTCAATAGCAGGCAGTTTTGCTTTCCCCGCTTTTCAAGTGAACCAAAAACACTTGAATTGCTTGTGAATCTTTGTGTGCATACTTTAGTTTTTGCAGGAGGAACGATATTCTGGGCATGCCAGAATGGGTATTCTGCAGCAATCCTCCAGTAATGGGCAACTCAGGACACTGTAGGCCTTCTCACAAGGGAAAAGATAAATAATTGGCCAAAAAAATAGTCAGCGTTTCTATTGCCTAAATCTAAGGTGCTATTAAAAATGAACAATAGTGTCTGCAGTTTGATCAGAACAGCAGCAAGAATAATATAGCAATGAAAACTGATTAATCAATTCAGTCTTTTTATTTTCATTCTGGCATCATGCACTGCAGCTCAATTTTACTGCAACTGGTAAAGCCTGAAGCAGGGCCTTACAGACGGTTTCAGACCTCAGGTATGCAGCTAGCATAGATACACACCATAAAGGTCCTTGTACATAATTAAAAAGTTAGTTGACCAGATGCCCTAAAAAAGGTGTAATGTGTTTTTTGCTTCATTTTTGTACAGCTGTCTTATGACATTGTCTGAAGGAGTGTAATTAATTTAAGCTAATCTTGAGCACACGGATGGGGAGATGAGGTGAAGTATTGTTTCTGGGCTGAAAAATGAACATCTTGAACAATTAACTGTTGTGCAGGCATGGGTGAAAGCATGCTCACATTATTTTGCAGTATGCTTAGTCCTCTCAAATTAAGAAAAACAAAAACATTCAACTGTCCCACCAACGGCTGACAAATCAAAACCAAAACCACGTATAAAAGCTGGAAACCAGCAACTCTAATGGAAAAAAATTCCTCCAAGTACCTTAGCTATACAGCCACTTTTGCCTACTATTTAATCTGAAATACTCTCACTCCCCCAGAATAAAAAACATAAGGGCCATTAGTACAGAGTGATCTCATTACGCTTAATAGCTAACAATGCATTTTTCTTCCAAAGATTTGTCCAAACACTTGTGCACCCTTACAAAATTTTATCACCTGCAGTATGCTATGGTAGGAGTTCCACAGTTAATTGCACTTAACTTTTCATTTCCAGCCTGTATTTTGCTGCCTGTGTCTTATTTGTTTATTCTAGTGCTGACATTGTCCTTCAGACAATACTTCTTCCTTGCTGATGTTTATGCTAATCTTAACTACCTCCATAAACTAAACCTTATGGCAGAATTCTGAAACTATTTCCACAATGCACAAATCAGTGCTGAACAGAGATAACCAAGACAGTTTAAGATGCTACTTGAATACCAAAAGTAGCACAGCAGCCTCCTTTGGCTCAGGACGATAAACTAACCCAAATGAAGCAGCACACTGACAAAATATTTTGATGCAGTGGTATATACTACTTCAAAATCATATGAAGAAAATGTGATCTTATAGAGAAAAATCTAGCAAAGATTGCTACACTGGGATCAAGTCACAGCATTGATTCTTTATTCACAAGGAAACACATATTCATAGCATGCATTGGCATTAATGCCAATGTTGTAGCATCTGTGTATTAAGGAATCCGTCTTGCCAAATGTGGTTGATCAAACCAATCCAGTACACAGAGTGGGAAAGAGCTGTCACACCGCATAGCAGCCCTGCATTATGCCATTGGGGCCAACTTTTCACAGAAACAGTGTGCTAAGCGTACATTTGCATAAGGAGCACAACAACAGACACATACCTATCACGTGCCCTAATATGCCAAATGACTCATCTCATCGTGTCCCCTGAAGCACACACTTGCACAGACAGTAAAGAGATTTCAAACTATTTCAATACTTTATAATTCCTATAAGCAAAGACACTAGAGAGCTCCAGGAGCCATTCTTGAACAAGATTTTCAAAAGGAAAGTGTAGGTAGGTTTTAGTAGCCACTGTTACCACACTGAGATGCTGCTGTTTTCTCCTTATTCATCCTGGCAAACAGACCAAGTAGAGCTCAGTATTCCCACCTAAGGAATAGCAACTGTCCCCAGAGCAACAACCGGGTTAGGATGTGAATTAGTTGGCACTAGAGGAAAATACTCTAGAAACAATTTGATATTACTTTCACATTTCTGAAATATCAAGGGAAATTTATATAAAAAGTAAGAAATTTCAAATATTAACCTTCTTCTTGTACGTGTAGAGATGCAGAGAATATTCTCTGAAACGTGCTCTTTTTTATTCTTGACTACAGTAGAAACTGCGAAGATTTGTCTGTGTGCCAGGGAACAAATGAAAGGGGTGCAGAAGTAAGCAGTGCTGTGCAGTGAATTCTACAACCGTTTTTATTTTGTTCCAAGATATACATCTTGGAATCAGTAATCAGCTTGTCCCCCCAGATTTTTGTCATAGCTGGCAGTAATAAATCACTCAGGCATTCACTCATTCACTTCATAAGTCCCACTGAGTGTCATCTATCTTGAGACTGCGATGAATGTACAAAACACTGAAAATACATCTGAGTTATGAAAAAAACAAATCACACTGGAGATGTCCTACTATTATGACAGTAGTAGTGCTAAAAGAGTTCACGGAATAGAGCACAATTCAGTACGAACCTAAAGAAATAAACTTTTGCTATCAACATGACCAAAAAGGTTGATGAAACTATAAAACATTATTTTAGTATTCCTCCACCATTTTTCCATCTGCCAAGGAACTATAAAGCACACACATAGAACAAACTTTTTGCTTTTGCTTGATCCTTTGTTATTTCTATCTCCATAGATAGTAATATATGTATGTTTTCAAGGGCAGAAGGAATCCGAGGTAGTAGTTCTAAATTAGGAGGAACTTCTGCAAATCAAGATGTATTTGAAACTTTGTCATGGAGTGGAGTCTTCTGAACTTCACACTGATATCCTTCCTCTTTAAGTAAAAAACCACAGAGCATAACTTACCTGCATGCAGCAACTGTCTAGCTATTAGAGAATGGAAGGTTTGAAGCAACTTTCCTGTTTATTAGAATTCACCTTCTTTGGATATTGCTGTCAAATCTATGTGGTAGGGTGAATTAGTATCTCTGGACTGGGATTTAATTTTTAAGATCATTCCTTTTCCAGTACTGCAACAAATCAACAGCAGATTACCACAAGGTAAGAGTAGCTTTCTGCAGTAACTAAAATAGCTGAGGTGTGTATAGTTCAGCGACAACTGTTCATTAGCAGGAAAGGTCATTCAAGAGCTATCTGCCTCCTGTTCAGATGAGTATGCATATATTCTACGTATCTGAATTAAACACACCACTGTGTATTTTTGGCCAGGCATACTTATATACACAGATCATAAAAAATGGTGATGTAGTGATAATGCATTGGAGGAAAGGGAGATGTTTACGCTGGCAGAGTTTTTAAAATAGATTTCCTGGGGAAAAAGAATACAGCTTGCATCAGCTGGAATTCAGATCGTGTTTCTGATTGAGGATCACTGTTTATACACTACTCGTAAATGGAAATCAATACCCTACTATCACAACAGCATAACTTTTATGAAGACATTAAAGACTGTTACTCTTTTATTGTTTTTTCAGAGATGATGAAGAATATGCTATTTTCTAAGTAGAAAGGCAAAACTATACACACCCCGTTCACCTTGGAGAACACAGATCATGAGTCTTGGAGTTTATCAAAAGAAAAATCTGTAGTGGAGACCCTTTTAAAATTTTTTGTAAAATATTTGCATTGTGTCACTTTAGATTACAAAACTGTGCAGGTGTACTCACGAGCAGACAGCTCTCAAGCTTTATCAAATGAATCAGCATGAAGATAACACTTCCTCACAGTAATACTGGACCTCAAGATTCACTCACCTGACTTGTTTTCCATTCATTTCACCAATGCATTTGTTTTGCCTGTTAAATAGTTCTTAAATACATCAACAACACCACCGACAACATTAGGACTACAGGACAAGCTGAATAATAAAAGAAAAATGAGATTTACAGTAGTTACATCATTTACTTTTACTAGGAACAGAGAGGCATTACCATGCTACTTACTATAAACTCAGATGTTCAGAGATTGCTGAGCTTGTCCCCAAGCTGTGCACCTCTACAAGAAAACTGTAATTTCTATTTTCAATAAAATAAAAAGGCTGTTTCTGAAAAAAATAAGAGAGTAAATCTACAGAAAACTTTGTGGCATAAGTCCATTGACTGGGAGTGCTAGAGAGGAAAACAAAAAAACCCTGAATATTTAAGCAAACCTAAAATTTCTATACCTGTTGTGGAATGACTAACAACCTGACAGACATCAGAAGTAAATAAACTCACGTCCCTACATACTCATCACATACCACAACAGAACATCAAAGCGGTACTTACAGCTAGAGAATATCAGAGGACACGAGTGTTCATCCATTGGGAAATTGTGCAGCTGCAGCTGGCACTCAGCGTTGATGGTCAGCCTATGGAGAAACAAAGCGCCTGTTACAACACATCAGCACAATGAACAGTCAGAGGAGGAAGCTGGGTAACGTTAGGTCTGTAAGGCCTGAAAGGAATGGATTATATATGCAGATTGTTCACCGGCTATTTAGGCCTGATCCAAAACAACAATAATTCACTAAAACCACAAATATTTTCAAACATATGTTTAAGACTTTCCTGATCCCAAGAAATCTGTGCATATGTTTTTCTCTAGAAAAATCGTCATGCAAGGACATGTGATGGAAACAGCTATTCTTTACAAAAATAACAGAAAAATGGATGATGTGGTGGTATGCAATTCCACAAAATTAAAACCTCATAAAGGATCTTATAAGGAACATTCTTCACATTTACTCATAGTATGAACTTAAAATTCTTTCAGTCATTTTGAGCTATCTCTCAAAAACTTAATAAATCTCTGTATGACATTCTCAGTCGTACAGATGTAACAAACACATCAGCAGAAACGTCTTCAACACCATGTGAAAGCTTGTTTTACGTGATATCCCTAACACAAAGGACACTATGAATGGAGCTGATTTTAAAATTACTATTAAAACCAGATAATCTTCTGTCTGATCACTTAGAAAGTAAATCTTTTTACTCAGGTAGATTGCATTAAGTGCTACTTTATTATACAGTCTTTTTCAGGAAACAGACACTACATGAATTGCGTGCCTGAATTTATGCAGCAAGTGAGGAGCATGAGGGGGTTTTGTTGCTTTTTTTTTTCTTTCTTTTGTTTTTTAAACTAATCCAAAAGCTAACAAACTGGATTGAGAAAGGTTTGTGTCTGAAATTTAGGATGGCACAGAGAAAACCTCTGTCTTGGAGAAGGTCATCTGTGAGGGACTTTAACGATGTTTTTGTCCTGAGACTGGAAGACGACTTGTAATGTTACAGCAGGAGTGCGTTCACACCCAAAAGCAGGCAGGAAAGAAGAGGGAAATGCATGGAGAATGACTGAACTTTGCACACTTTCTCCTGAATACAGAATATTTATCAGCACTTGACAGACCCAGGGCATACAGTAGTTACTGCTTCGCCATACCCATTCTGTGTGCTCATTTAAGTCGGATAAATTGTTTTTGAATTACACAATGCTATCAATGAAGAGTGATCAATGTAACAGTTGCTGTTATGTAAAAAGGAGGCTGACCTAAGTGGGAAAAAAATACCTCAAAACCTCTTTCACAAACTAAAAATGCTAATTCAAACAATCCACTGGGTCAAATATTGTCCCTTTTTTAGCTGTTTCAGACAAATTTTGCAGTCCATTCAACAAATAGTTTTTTTAGTGATATGTAATGTATGTAAGTCTACTTGCCCTGAAATACTGAAATAGGACTTAATAGAAAAAAACAAGAAAAAATCCCAACAACCCATCCAAGAGGGAAATGGAGTTCCCATGCTAACCACTGAAGTCTTTAGCTACAGGCACTGAAATAAGCAAGAGCTCTGTCACAGTGGAGAAAGCCTAAGAAGGGAAGGGAACTAAAAATGTCAGAAGCATTTCCAGCTGTTTAATTACTTTCTTATTGTTTTCCAGAGACTTGCTGTTGGAGCCCAACTGCAATTGCAAGTATGATCAGAATATGCTGTTGCACTGAGAGCGCAGAACACAATCACTGCAGATAATGCAGCGTGAAAAGGATGCTTCTGAAAAAGTTTGCCATGTAGAATATGACTTATGGCAAAACACACTTCTGACCAATTCATCTCTTCCATAAGTAAACACCTCTTTTGCTTTCCACAGGCTTTTTTTATGCAAATATATACAGTACTTCTAGTACCATACAGTGGATGTTATCACAAAGATTCAAAGAACTCTAAAAGCCTTTCCTCCAGCAATTCACCCTTGTGATGAGATGTGACAGACTATCTTTCATTGTGACTTATCTGAAGAATCAAGTATTGGCATTAGCATGAATCAAGAAATACTTTATCCAGCCCTGCATCTAACTCTGATCAGAAAGGTTTCTGACAGATTTTATGGGACTACATGCTCTTGATTTTATTACAAGCACTAAAAAGCCCAACTTCTACAATTTAGACAGACCTATTTCAATTCTCAAGATTTCTTTTTTAGAAAGAGAAGACTTTGTTTTTTAAGCTCTGCAGTACTTATGCCTGAACATTTCAGTATTTGCCAAGCATGATCAGGGACGTATCAGGAAGAAAACAGCAGAGGACAACAAAGATAAGGCTGAAAATTACTCCTACTATGCCAGAGGTGGGAGAAGCTTTCAGCCCTACACGTTGACTGCTCACCTGAGGGTGTACAAGATCTTGCCATCATTCCATATGCGGAGGAGCTGGTTGGGGGTGGTGATCCAGTGAGCCTCTGCCGTCTTGGAGTTACGAAATATCGTGTCTGGGATCCAGATCAAGCCAACCATGTTGCTGTTCAGAGTCAGTATTTTCATGGTGCTGTTGAAGCGAAGACGGCTATCTGTCCACGTTTGGGCAAAAAATATATCAATTTGATATTCCTGCAATGAAAGCATGATACACAAATCTAAATCAGTTCCACACTTCACTCTACTACTTGGTCTTTGACAAGGTCTATCTGGATGTAGAGTGGTAGGATACATTCAGGCCCGTGGAAAAGTTTCTTTTTTTACTGCCTGAGGAAAAATTTTTTTTTTTTCCCCCCTCTCCAGCTTCTTTAGAAAGCAGGCCAGACATCTCACTTGCCTTGGTCCTGCACCATAACAATTTCTGCACTAGCACATTCTTTTCCTTTGTCTCTGAACAGTCACAGATACAACATACAATTTGCAGACTTCTTTGTCATAGGGCAGACTGACAAAAGAGGTGTGAGAGATGAATAAGAGCAGGACATGTAAGCTAGAGAATGGTAATTTTACCTGATTATGGCAATGCCTTTTGCGGGGCGGGGGGGTGGGAGGTGGGAAGTCAATAAATTAGTTGTTCTGTATGTTACCAATTGTTCAGCCACTCATTTTCCAGTCACAGTACAGCAGAATTGAAAAAGCATGTTTGTGTTTCTTTACAAACACCTCATGTACCTCAAATGCCAAGAGCTGAATGGTCATTATCTTACAGCCCTGAATAGGCTTATATCACAATTTACATGAATCTCATCCTTTCTTTCACACCATGTTTACTTCTGTAAAGTTAAATTACACATGGAGAAGCAAAAGTTATATAGGTGAACATACAAACACACTGATTTCTACATGTAATACCCCATGGAAGAAACTGGACAAAACCCAGTATTTGAACTGCGAATTCCAGCCACCAGAGGCTGAAAAAGGTCATGTTTGCATTTTCTTATGTTCCTCTCCTAGAGGAACATAAGACAGCTCTAGCTGTGAACCCTGTGGAAATGGTCATCTGATTGTGTCATGAGAGACCCTTGCAGTATTGCAGGGCTGACCGCATCAGTAACAGGGACAGTGTTTGCGTATGCTCTACAATGCAGGCTAGTACAGGGACTGGGGATAAGCCAGAGGAAGCCATCTCCTTAGGACTCCCAGCTGATGTACTCTTGGTACACCTGAACAAAGGAAAATTCAGGCTGTGTGGAAAATCTAGTATGTCTTTGCCTTTGACAACTCTAAACATGCTTTCATTGCATTTTCATTTGTTTATTCCTAAGTTTTAAAAGTGAAGGTATAAAAAGCAATTATATTCTACAAACAGTATTTTATATTTTTAAATTTATAGATCATAGAATCATAGAATCATAGAAAGTTTTGGGTTAGAAGGGACCCCTAGAGGTCATATAGTCCAACCCCCCCGCAGCAAGCAGGGACACAACTAACTAGATCAGGTTGCTCAGAGCCCTGTCCAACCTGGTCTTCAATGTTTCCAGGGATGGGGCCTCCACTACCTCTCTGGGCAACCCGTTCCAGTGTTTCACCACCCTCATTGTAAACAATTTCTTCCTTATATCCAGCCTAAACCTACCCTGTTTTAGTTTAAAACCGTTACCCCTCGTCCTGTCACTGCTGTCTCTACTAAAAAGATTGTCCCCATCTTTCCTATAGGCTCCCTTGAAGTACTGAAAGGCTGCAATCAGGTCTCCCCGCAGCCTTCTCTTCTCCAGGCTGAACAAGCCCAACTCTCTCAGCCTGTCCTCATAGGAGAGGTGCTCCAGCCCTCGGATCATTTTTGTAGCCCTCCTTTGGACCCGCTCCAACAGTTCCATGTCCTTCTTGTGCTGAGGGCTCCAGAGCTGAAGGCAGTACTCCAGGTGAGGTGTCACCAGAGCAGAGTAGAGGGGCAGAATCACCTCTCTCGACCTGCTGACCACGCTTCTCTTGATGCAG